AAAAGAAAAAGCAAAAACAAGGTTCTTGTACTGCTACTTCAGTCACAAAGCTTAACCTTATTTATCAATATACTTCGCATAATAAACTGGCTGCCAAGGAGACAGCTAACTTCTGACCTCTAAATAAAAAGTTTTTGGCATGAAATTCTAGTTATAGGATACAATTTTTATTAATGTTAAGTATATGGAAGATTTTTGAGATACCACAGGCCCATATTTTTTGGTAGGCAGCTCGGGATTTTCTTGATATAATTTTAAAAAAATAACTTACTTCAGTACTGAATTTATTAACTGCTCGATACTTAAGTATCGAAACAGCTTTTGTCTCGAATCATGTGCTATCTGATCGAACATGTGATAGGCCCATTTATCGATCAATTGTCGATTAATCGAATGAAAGTATGAGTAATTAGCAATGCAATCATTGATGAGAGTATGATCAATGCGAGTACATAGTATGTTAGTAAGTATGAGGTAATTGAGTAAATATGTAGTAATTGGATAATTATGAGGTAATTTGATAGTAGTATCTTAGGAAAATAATAGAAGGTAATTTTGTTTTTTCTGCGAACCCGATTTTTGTTTTGGTTACTTCAACCCCACCCTACCCACAAGCATTACGATATTTTAGTGGTCTGGCCTGCTGGGACAGTAGTCAAAGTAAAATAGTAGGGCGGGAGAGTTGTCAAATTGCAAGTTTTGAATTGCGGCCTGTTTGGATGACAGTCGCAATGAAAGAGTGGCCAATCGGGACGACTGCTAATAATTGTATTTAAAAAGAATTATAATAGCCAGCTGATACTTGTGGAGGCTGCGTAGATTGCTTGAAAGTGGAAGAAACATGTTTATTGTTCTTCATAATAATAAGTACACAGAGAAATGAGAGACAAAACAAATTTGCAATATATAATATTCAACATAATTTTCTTTACAGTTATATTCTCACACAAGTGTGGAGTATTTCTAATAATCTGTTGGGTAATTTACGCAAATTATTTAAACTGACAGTAAGTTAAATTTTAGGGGAATTTACAAATAAGGGCCAAAAAAGTAAAATAATTAGCAATCAAAGTAATTACAAATAGGAGCCTATTTTGAAATTTTTTTTACAATATCTCGTGATACAATAAACTAAATTTAACGATTTTGATATCGTTCGAACCATCTCATTGAGACAGATCGAATGGTACCAAAATTGTTTAATTTTAATTACAGGATAACGAGATTAAACGTATTTAGAAAACTTTAAATATCTCATAATAATAGTAATTGAAATCTAGCGATTTTGGTACATTTAATGTGTCCTGATGAGTCGGTTCGAATGGTACCAAAATAGTTAAATATAGTCCATTAAATATCAATATATTCGCAAAGAATGTTTTATAGTCAAAATAATTTAAAGTTCTGGACTAAACTGCGCCGCAAAACGTTTGTTGCGAATATATTAACCAAATTTAACGATTTTGGTACTATTCGAACTGACTCATAGAGACACATTGAATAGTACCAAAATCGCTAGATTTCAATTACTATTAGATATTCAAAATTTTCTAAATACGTTTAAATCGTAATATCTGTAATTAAAATTTAATAATTTTAGTATTCGATCTGTCTCGATGAGACGGTTCGAATGATATCAAAACCACTAAATTTAGTTCACTGTATCATGAGGTATTGTAAAATATTTTCAAAATTGGCTCCTACGTATTTGTAATTACTTTGATTTCAGGCCCTTATATGTAATTATTTTACTTTTTTGGGCCCTTATTTGTAAATTCTAACTGACATAACTTATGTAACTTGCATATTCAATTACTCGGCTTTCCTATGAATTTAGTATTGTCAGGTAAATTATCCCAACCCTGCTAATAATTATTAACGTCAGTTTTTACATCATACTGATAATGATAAATTTGCAAAAAAATCAGCATACGTAGTAGGTCAATTTCAAAAAAAAAAATAATGATATTAGCATTAATGTACACACTCAGCAGCAAAACATTCGATCACTTAGGCCGTTCGAAGTTGATTCTTCGGTTAACGTCCTTGAAGGCTCCCCCCGAGAAATGAACAACCAATCAAAACGCTGGATAACTCTCACCAATCTCTTGATTTATATTGACCAATCAAATTGTTTCATATTTGTTCATTCTATATGTTCATTCTATATGTTCGTTTAATTTTACCCCCCCCCCACCCAAGAGTTCTAAAAGTGACGTTAACTGAAAATTCAATTGCAAGCGGCCTTAAGAATAAAAACTAATGTATCATTATAGAAATTCTATAGGCGGTCGAATACTTTGTTCCATATATGTTTGTACAGTGTGAGTATTGCAGGTTCAGTAGATACAGTTTTATATCTGAATTTAAACTGAATCAAAATGAAATTGGATTTAAATCCAAAGTCAAATCGGCTTCAAACTCTAGCCTCAAATATGTACTTTAGAAATTTAGTTGGTTTTATAAGTCTTAAAAATTTTTATTATAAAAATTTACAGAGCGAATAGGTTTTTTTATTGTAAGAAAATTCTAAAAAATTTATATATAAAAAAAATATTGACTATAAATTGTGTAGCTTAATAGGTCAAATTTAAAGAACAATATCTATTAAATTTTGTCTTTTTATCATGCCTTCCCTTTTTTCTATTCGACATCTACAATTCTGACTAGTCACAAATCTTATTATATCTCTTGTTTCTGATCGTGTTCTTGGAGGTAATATCCAAATATCATTATTTTTTTCTACTATATTGTGAAGAATTAATGCTATATCTATAAATTTAGTAGCAAGTTTAGTATCATTAGTTCTTATTTCTTTTAAAAATTGAAATCGATTTTTTAATCTACCAAATGCCTGTTCCACCACAACACGTGTTCTATTATGTTTTTTGTTAAATTGAATTTGTCGTCGAATGGGTGATTTAAATGATGGAATACACCATTTTGAAATAGGATAAGCAGAATCAGCGAGAATATAGTCATCATCTTGAAATAAATTATTTTGTTGAGTATATAATGATGAATTTGAAAAAACTTTAGCATCGTGTACAGATGCTGGCCATCCAATATCATAATTAATAAATCGGCCTAAATGATCTACAACACCTTGTACATGAATAGCATATCGTCGTTTTCTGTTAATATATACATCTTTGTTTGGTTTATTAGGAGCTTCGAATAAATAAACATGAGTTCCATCAATAACACCAATTATATCAGGAAATCCTTCTATTTGTTCAAATCCACGAACAACTTGTTTTCTGTAATCATTTTGTGGCCAAACAACATATTGTGTTCGTAAAGATTGAATAGCAATAATAATTCATTCTGCATATTTAATAACTGATCCTTCCGAAATACCAAATCTTGTTGCAATGTCCCAGATAGTAGATTTTCTACCCAACAAAAATAAAACAACAGAAAGTTGTAATTCAATTGGCCTTTGACGACTATTAAAAACTAAATTATTCTTAATCATATTTATGATTTTCCAAAAAGTTAGCTTATTCATTCGTAATACTGTTCGAAATCTTTTTTCATCATATTTAAAAAGAATATTTCTATACCAAAAATTAGACTTAGGTATAGTATCTTTATGAGAAGTAGATAATCTATTATATAAATATCGTCGAACAATAATATTTATAGTTTGTTCATCTTCACTAGATGATTCTATATTATTATTCGAATTATTAGAATCATTTTCACTACTTGATTCTGCTGAGTCTCTAATTAATTGAGATAGTAAATGATTGTTCATAGCGTTAAAAGAGTTTTAATTGTTAAATAAATGGTTGAAAAATAAAATATATATCAAATTTTGTATTATGATAAAAAACCTATTAGAATCTAAATTTAGAAATAACTATTTTTAAATTATGGTTTATAAAAAATGTAGTCACGATGATCAAGTAAAATTTGAGATTCTAGAATATTACTTTATATTTTCTATAAAATCTATGATTCTTATAACATTGTAATTTACATCTATTACAGCTGTTTTCAAAAAGGTGTAAACAAACGATTTAGTAAGAATTGAATATCTAATTAGCATTAGCTTTGAAAACTCTGGAAATCTTGTGAATTTTTCAAGATTTATCACTTTTCCGAAACCAATACTACTGAAATACTATTTCTCTGACATTACATGGGTTTAGAATTAGTATTTTGTTAAATGTGGGTATATATTTTTAGCAAATTGTCACATGTGTGATTTCAAGTAAGTGCTATGTCAAAGAAATAGCTTTCAGGAAATCATACCATAACCTTCAAAAACAGCTATAAACCTAGGTGCTACACAAAAATATACTAGAATTCTGTAGATTCAAATTCTACCTAAGTAGATTTCAAATCCAAAAACAACTTAAAAAACTTCAGATTTTAAAAATATCAATTATAAATTACTAGCATATCTCACATTACTTAGAATTAAAATCATAAATATAAATAGTTATTCATAAATACTTAACTCTAAATACTTATTTACAATTAATTAATTACCTAATACTCTTCAAATAGTGCACGAGTATAAAGATGATTTATTAACGTTAATCAGTGGAATTAAAATCATAAACATAAATATTTATTCATAAATACTTATCTTTAAATACTTATTTACAATTAATTAATTATTTAATACCCTTCAAATAGTGCGTGAGTATAAAGATGATTTATTAACGTTAATCAGTGGAATTAAAATCATAAACATAATACTTATTTACAATTAATTAATTACTTAATACCCTTCAAATACGTAGTGCGCGAGTATAAAGATGATTTATTAACGTTAATCAGTGGAGTTAAAATCATGAACATAAATACTTATTCATAAATAGAGATGCAGACATTTGTCAAGTCAAGGGTAGCTACTCTCTTGTGTCATATAAAATTTGGGTAGCTACCTAGTTACGGCTATGCCATATGTTATTTCATATTCTAATGTTTGCATCTTTATTCATAAATACTTAACTCTAAATACTTATTTACAATTAATTAATTACTTAATACCCTTCAAATAGTGCGTGAGTATAAAGATGATTTATTAATGTTAATTAGTGGAATTAAAGTTATGAACATAAATACCTATTCATAAATACTTAACTCTAAATACTTATTTACAATTAATTAATTATCTAATACCCTTCAAATAATGCGTGAGTATAAAGATGATTTATTATATTAATCAGTGGAGTTAAAATCATGAACATAAATACTTATTCATAAATACTTAACTCTAAACACTTATATACAATTAATTTTATTAATACCTTCAAATCATTTCATTCACATTAATTATTTAGTCGGTGAGTATAATTTTCAAAGTTACAATAAAATTTAAAATAAATAATGAATGATAATATAAAAAATTATATTATGATTACAAACAAACTCTAAATACGATAAATGTACACACTCTAATGAAAATAACACTCAACCTGCGTAGTTCTAACATGCGATCTTGATAACATAGCACAAGGATAGACAAGTAGTATAAACAAGGATGTTGATGACTGCATTAGAAAGTTTCTTTCAACTTAGAACTTATAAATACAAAGATGTAAATTATTGATGTTAAAGAAATCATTAAAGGAAAATTTGACTCTGTATATTTTGCAACTTGGTCAGATTGCATACGAAAAATTGATGATAATGAAAATAAAGGAGTATGTGAACCAACCAGTATCATTGCGCTCAAGATCTTGGCTAGTATTAATAATCTTCAGACTTTTAATGTATGTATCTGTATTGCCAACAATTTTAGTAAGCGAAAAACGTGAAAATAATTAGGTATTTGTATATTGGCAATTCAGCTTACAGAGTATTTGAATGTTTAGAGGCTTTTTACTATAATTTAGCTGATACCGACAAGCCACACAAGTCATAATTGAATTTTTCATAGTAATAGTATGTTTGACTAAGTTACACAATAATTCAAGCAAAGCCATATGGTTGCAGTGGTTGCAGATGTTTGTGTTTTAATTATACGTATATAGAAGATAAGTATTTAAGAAAAACATAATATATTTGAAAAAAGGTTTCAAGCTAAAATGCCAATTCAAAAATATTTTTTTTTAAGACAAATTTTAACAAATTAGTAATAAGTTTTTAAAAAAAATCACTTGCTAGACGTAAAATTTTTATTTTACACCTAATTACGAACTTATTATTTTAGTGCTATATAGGCCTATTAATATGATTTAGTAACTCTAAAATATCAAATTGGATTAGTTAGAACTGATATTTAGTTGTAACTAACTGAAGAAAGAATTAATTAATTGAAAAAATTTTGCTGATTTGTAATGCTAATGCCAATATACATATCGCAAGATTTAATTAATGAGAAAATTGGTATATTATTATATTAAATATTATGTATAGATAGAACTTTAAGAGTATTTTTTATATATATGTTATACTCACAGGCTAAATTAATGAATAAAAGAAATAATCTGAAAGGTATTAGGTAATTAATTGTAAATAAGTATTTAGTGATAAATATTTATAAATAAGTATTTATAATAATATTTTTACTTCTACAGATCAACATTAATAAATTATCTTTATAATTATAAGCCAAATTAATGTGAAAGAGAGAAATAATTTGAAGAGTATAATATAATTAATTATAAATAAATATTTAGTAATAAGTATTTATAAAATAAGTATATATTCATAATTTTAATAAAATTAATTTATATTAATAAATTATTTTTATACTCACAAACTATTTAAAAGTATTAGGTAATTAATTATAAAGAAGTAATTAAAGATAAATATTTATAAATAAGTATTTATGTTTATAATTTTAATGAAACTGATTAAGTTAATAAATTATCATTATATTTACAAATCATCTTTATACTAAGACTATTTAAAAGGTATTAAATAATTAATCATAAAGAAGTTTTTAGAGATAAGTATCTATGAACAAGTATTAATATTCATAATTTTAATAAAATAATTAAATTATCTTTATACTCACTCACTATTTGAAGAGTATTAGATAACTAATTATAAATAAGTATTTAATGCTAAGTATTTATGAATAAGTATTTAT